AGGAGGAAGGTTGAGATTTTAGCTCTGAGCTCTGACCTCTTGGCTTTCTCTTTTACATTGTTTCTGTGTTTCTTATTTAATAAGACGGTTGGTTACATCTACACAATTCAGTTTGCTGATCATCTGTCTCATTGAAGATACCCAATTCCTCAAGCCCACAGAAATTCAGTTTATCAGTAACATGTAGCAATATCAGTGGTAGTGTGGAGTCCACACCTATTAAAGACCACAGTTTAGTTGTATGTATTTATGTCATCATATATAGTAAAAATGCTGTACCCCTGACCTACATCTCCAGTACCCTTGTTCCCATGCCACAGTTGCCCTGAAAACCAAAACACCTAAAGATCCAACAAAGAAAGAAAACAACAGACCTTTCCCCTTATGAACATACATGTAAAACTTGTCAACAAAATATCCACAAACCAAATCCAAGAACACATCAAAAAGAATATCCACCACATTTAAGTAGGCTTCATCCAAGACATGTAGGGATGAGTCAAGATACAAAAATCAAGAAATGTAATCCACCATATAAACAATCAGAAAGAAAGAAAGAAAAAACCTATATCATCACCTCATTAGATGTAAAAAGGGCCTTTGATAAAATCCAACACCCCTTCATGATAGAAGTTCTGCAGAGATAAGGGATACAAGGAACATACCTAATCAGAATAAAGCAATTTCCAGCAAGCCTATAGCCAACATCAAATTAAATGCAGACACTCAAAGTTATTCAACTAAAATCAGGAACAAAACAAGACCTCTAATCTCACCATGTCTATTCAATACAGAACTGGATGTCTTAGCTAGAGCAATATGACAACTGAAGGAGATCTAGGGGATGCAAATTGGAAAGAAAGAAATCAAAGCATTTTTCTTTGCAGATGATGTGATAGGATATGTAAGTGACTCAAAAAATTCCACCAAGGAACTCCTATGCTGAAAAATACTTTCAATTAAGTAGCTGGATACACAATTAGCTCAGAAAAATTAGCATCTCTCCTATGTATAAATGACAAAAGAAATGAGAAGGAAAGCAGAGAAATAATACCTTTCAAAATAGCCTCAAATTATATAAAGTATCTTATGGTAACTAAGCAAGTAAAAGACTTATATAATAAAAACTCAAGTCTTGTAGAAAGAAATTGAACAAATGAGAAATTAGAAAGATCTCCCGTGCCTATGGATCAGTAGGATTAACACAGTAAAAATGGCAATCCTACCAAAAGCAATCTACAGATTCATTGCAACCCCCATGAAAATACCAACACAATTCTTTACATACCATGTAAGGACAGTTCTCAACTTGAAATAGAAAAACAAACAACCCAGGATAGGTAATGTAATTCTGAACAATAAAAGAGCTCCTGAAGGTCTCACCATTCTAGATTAGATGTTGTACTACAGGATTATAGTAATAAAAACCACATGGTGTTGTCATAAAGAGAAACATTTATCAATGGAATAGAACTGAAGATCCAGACATGAACCCACACACCTATAGACAACCAGTTTTTGATAAGCCAGAAATAGGAACTGGAAAAAAGACAGCTTCTTCAACAAATGGTGCTGGTCAAACTGGATGTCTGCATGTAGAAGAATGCAAATATTCTCATCACCCTGCACAGAACTCAAGCCCACATTTGTAAGAGACTGTATGACCCTGCCCTGTGTAAACTGTTAGCTGCTGAGTGCTGTATGCTACACACAAGCCACAGCCAAATGCCCTGTGTCTCGGCCCTCTCACCTGACTGAAGTGGGCCAAGCAGGTTTGCACTTACCAATATGAGAGTTTCCCACTTGGAAATTCCACTGGCTCAAGCTGACCTCCACAAATTGTACACCTATCATTTTGGTTTTCCTTTATTCATATGTATCAATTAACAAATACAGGAAAAGTACACAGAAAGGCACTCACCCTGCCCAATCAGATCCTTCTTTATAAAGACACCTGCAGCTCAATGACTTAATCTCTAATCTAGCTATTGCTTATTAAGCTCAATCCACATGAGTCTATTTAATGGGTAATAGGGATTTATTAAAATATAAATTGAGGAAATACACTCACGAATACAGAACAGAGTAGACAGCTGAAGTTGTCCTCTGATCGGACCTGGAGTGAATCCACCTCGCAGGCAGGAGCAAGGAGAAGGGCATGTGACCTTTCTCCCTTCCTTTATAAGAGGTCTTGAACAATTATCAGGAAGCACCACCTCCTTCGGGCACTATAGCCCAAGGTCATGGGCAGAGCAAATACCACTACAATTGTCTAGACTATTTCCTGTGCAAGTGTATACAATAAACTATTCCTTCTAGTCTGATCTCAATAGAGAAGCCATTATCCACACACAAATCCTTTTCCTGTTAGTGCAATAGACAGCCCATTCTGTGACTCAAATGGGTACTTTTAGAAGTGTGTTTGACAAATCTTTAATCAAGAATTAAGGAGGTTGAGTCAGGAGGACAGCAGGGTCGATGCCCTGGGGGCCTAACCACTGAGATCAAGGCAACGAAAATTCACATAACAAACCTTGTCTCAAAATATTTTTCTAAAAGCTTGAAGGTGCAACTGTTTGGGAATTAAAATGCCTTCCCCCAGCCTGGGCTACCAAGTGAGTTCCAGGAAAGGCGCAAAACTACACAGAGAAACCCTGTCTCGAAAAACCAAAAAAAAAAAAAGAAAAAATAAAATAAAATAAAATAAAATGCCTTCCCAATGAGATACCATGCCACACACTTAGAGATTAATTCAGAAAAATCTCTTCAGTAATGACAATTCTCCAACCGGCTGACACTCCAAGAGCAGCTGGCCAAGAACGGATTTGCTTACATATGTACACCATATTCTTATACATTTCACATATGCTGCCAACCTGAAGCAATGCTGCTTACTGCCCTCCTATCATGGCTTGTGCAGCTTGCTTCCTCAGAGAACTCAGGGCCACCTGCAGAGTGGCCCCACCCACAGTGGGATGGGCCCTATTACATCAATCATTAAGCAAGAAAATAAACTATAGGTTTACCTACAGGCCAGTCTGATTCTAGGTTGTGTCAAGTTGACCAAATCTAACCAGCATACCTACTGAGTAAACGGCAGATTTTTGTTGTTGTTGTTGTTGGTTGGGGTGGGGGTGGGGCCACTGGTTTTTCAAGACGAGGAGGTTTCTCTGTGTGTAGCTCTGAATCCTGGAACTCCCTTTGTAGACCAGACTAGCCTCAAAATCACACACATTCTCCTGCTTCTTCTTCCCAAGTGCTCAGATTAAAGGAGTACAATACCAGCACACTGTTTTTTGTTTGTTTGTTTTGTTTTGTTTGTTTATTTGTTTGTTTAAGAAAGATTATTAAGCAAATCCCAACTCTCTTAACAGTCAATTTTCAGTGTATGCTTGTGCTAGCACACAAAAAGTTGTTGTTGGTTTTGGTTTTTTGAGACAGGGTTTCTCTGTGTAGCTTTGGCGCCTATCCTGGATCTCGCTCTGCAGAGCAGGCAGGGAGATAAAGGTGTGCACCACCACCACCCAGCTACAAAGTTTTGAAAATCTGTCAAGTTTAGGACTGGAGAGATCACTCAGCAGGTAAGACCAATTATCGCTCTTGTAGAAGTTCTGGGTTTGAATCCCAGCACTAACATGGTGGCACACAGTCATCCATAGATGCTGTTGCAGGGGATCTGGTACCTCCTTCTGTCTTATATGGCCACCAAACACACATGTGGTGAACATACGTACATGGAAGCAAAACATTCATATGTATGAAATAAAATGAATGTAGAAAAATTAAAAGCACATAACCTCCTATCTCTTATACATCACAAATGATCCAGAAATACATAGAAATGTGACAAAGGTCTGTAGCCAAAACTATACCTTTCTGATTGAAGAAATCAAAAAACTTGATCAAAGGAGAGAAATCCCATTATGTAGACAGGAAGCTTCAATATTATTTCACTACAGATTCTGAGCTATAGATTCAGCAACAGTCCAATAAAAAGTCTAACAATTTTTGTTATCACTAACAGAAAATTGATGAGAAAAGGTCATAAGAAATAAAATAATTAATACAGGATTGAGAAAATAGCAAACACAGTGATACCATCTAATCTCAAAATTTCTCATACACCTGCAATAAAGACTGTACTGTCTGGGAAAGAACAAAGAGATCGACAGAACCTAAAAGAAAACGTAGAAATAACACAATATAGAGTCAATTATGATACATGAGACCTTACTGGACCACCCTGACACCTGCATGCAAATGAGTTAGTGACAGAATTTACGCCCTGCACAGAATTAACTGCAGATGGCTTCTACACCTGAATGTTCAGTGCCAAGTGCAGAAGACAATAGAGAAAGCAGGGCTCTGCGAGAAAGCAAATATGCTTCCATGGCGACGATGAAAGCGTCGCATGCACTCCCTGCAGAGTCGTCAGCAACAACGATTTCCACACTTGGGCCCTGCTCCATTGGAGCAGCCGATAGTGTCATCATTCAGAGTATGCAGGTTCCCAGACTGCCCCTGTAGTGGCAGAAACAGCGGATTTCACCGGACTTCAAGGGACCTAGACGGACAACGGAGGGTCCCAGGGAACATCACGTGACCTTGCAAGAATAGAGGGATTTAACAAGACACTAAATCCAGTCGCCAATTTCTACATTCCCGGGAGACCCCCACACCAACTCACCATGGCATAGATTCCAAGCTCAGACAGTTCTCACAGCTTCAGGCAGCGGGATCACAGCCCAGCAACCAAAAACCAAGAGATCCTCCCTCAGTCCTAGGACTCCAAGCTGCTATCACGATGGACCGGAAGTGCCCTCCCCTATTATAATTGGTGGGTACATCTGGAGGCTGTCATTGGTTAGTGAGGAATGAGTGACAGGAGCTGCTCTCTTAGGGATAGAATGCAGTGAAGGGACACATCACACAATGCTTGCCAGCCCTGGCTTCCACTCCAGGGGGGGAAAAAAACTGTCCCAGACCTACAGAGATGGGCATTGCAGCAGAATTTACACCTGGACTGCAAAGTTGTCCCTGCACTGTAACTGCACACAATAGGCACTTCCCTTTCTTCCTCCAGGGCATACACACACACACACACATACACACACACACACACACACACACACACAAACCAGAGTCTCAAGCATACACAGATCGTTAAACAATGTGCAGTGGAGTGATCCTCCTGCCTCACAGCTGAAAGGGCCCCCAGACCATCGAGGTTAAATTTAAGCCACCTGATTGATGTTCACCAAGCATCGACAATTTCAATGAGGTACACCTGGGATTACTCACGCCTCTTTCAGCTGCACATTGGAAGCCAAAATACTATCCCAGCCTCCTGTATAAGGGTTGGAGTGCTTTTACTTCAGTTGCTCATTTATTTGTGCTTGCTGCCGTTATTTAATTAAATGTCTATGCCTCTATGGAAAACCTGTTTTTCATATCTGAATTGTGCTGGTGATTGTATAAAGCTTGAACTCATGAGAACTTTACTCATGTGACCTTTCTTATCCCTCAGTTTAAATTGTCTGGGGCTATGACTAAAGGTGGCTATTAAATGAGACTATAGTCCACATCATTCATCCGCTCCTCTCGTCCAGGTTCCATTGCCTATAGTGGGGTCACAGTGGCGTGCCAACACAACCTGAAAACTTTTGTTTTTAAAGACAAGGGTCTCACCTAATCCTACACTTTTAGAATTACAGCAGTGATGGCAAAATGAAGTGATGTAAATGGTGAAACAGTTTAAAATTGTGAATTTCCCTTGTGTAAGTTGTATTTCAATAAGGTAAAAACACTATAATGAATCTTTATTTTTACTAACACTTTGTCTATAGATGCCAAGAAAGAAGAAATTTGAGATTAGAATTCCTGTGCCAGCAAGATTGCTTCAAGGTACCTGTATCCAAACCTAATGACTTAGGTTAATCTCTTGGAATCTATAGAGTACCAACTCCTGCACATTCTACTCTGAACTCGAAAAGTGCACTGTTGCATAAAGAACCACTTCCCAATTGGCTGCATGTGTGAAAATGCATGCACCACCCAGAACAAATAAATACATAGATACGTGAATGTAAAATCATCAAACTCTTAGCCTGTGTTGAGTCATGACAATGCCCTTACTCCAGGTGAGTACTAATGGTCTGGACACACCAACCACAACGTACCAAGATAAAACAAATTCTGAGCTCATCATTCAGAAAGGCTGCATTCTATCCTTTTAAATCCATTTGTTCATTTATTTGTACACAGGATATCACACTGTAGTCTAAACTGGCCCAGATTTACAATGTACTACTGACTGAGCTGTACTTCATGGAAACACCCTGCCTCAGCATTCTAAGTGAAATGACAGGTATGAGCCAAGATACCAGTTTCCATCTTTTAAAAAATGGACTAATAGCCTGAGGTAGGACTACTTCTAGATATTTTCAATTATTTATTTCCTAAAAAGAACTCAAAATGTCAATGACAAATTTGTCATGAACCCCTTTTTGGCCAAGTGTGATGCATTTAATATTGTGAGCGGGACAGGGGGATGTGCTAAGAGAGGCATCATGATTAACATATGAAGGAAGACAAGGATAACTGGATGTCAACATGTAGAAGATTGCAAACAGATTCACATCTATCGCCATGCACAAAACTCAAGTCCAAATAGATCAAAGACGTCAACATAAATCCAGTTACACTGAACCTGAACCTAATAGAAGAGAAAGTGGGAACTAGTCTTGAACACATTGGCACAGGAGACCACTTCCTAAATATACCAGTAGCACAGACACTGAGAGCAATTAATAAATAGGACCTCCTGAAACTGAGAAGCTTTTGTAGGGCAAAACATCAGCCTACAGAATGAGAAAAGATCCTCACCAACCCCACATCTGACAGAGGGCTGATCTCCAAAATTCATAAAGAACTCAAAGAAACTAGACAGCAAAATACCAAATATTCCAATTAAAAAATGGGCTACAGATCTAAACAGAGAATTCTCAACAGAAGAATCTCAAATGGCAGAAAGACATTTAAGGAATTGATCAACATACTTAGCCATCAGGGAAACACAAATCACAATGACTCTGAGATACCATCTTATAAACCTGTCAGAATGGCTAATATCAAAAACACTTGTGACAGCTTATGTTGAAGAGGATTCAGAGTAAGAGGAACACTCCTCCACTGCTAGTGGGAGTGCAAACTTGTACAGCCACTCTGGAAATCACTATGGCAGTTTATCAGAAAACTGGGAATCAATCTACCTCAAAATCCAGCAATACCACTATTGGGCATATACCCAAGGGATGCTCAAATCATACCACAAGGACACTTGTTCAACTATGTTCATAGCAGCACTATTTGTAATAGCCAGAACCTGGAAACAACAATCTAGATGCCACTCAACTGAAGAATGGATAAAGCAAATGTGGTACATTTACACAATGGAGTATTACTCAGTTGTAAAAAACAATGACATCATGAAATTTGTAGGCAAATGGAACTAGAAAAAAATCATCCTCAGTAAAGTAACCCATACCCAGAAAGACAAACTTGATATGTCCTCACTCTTAAGTGGGTATTAGACACAAGGCAAAGGATAACCAGCTACAAACCACAACTCTAGAAAAGCTAGGTAAAAAGGAGGACCCTAAGAGTCACAAGCATGGAGGGCTCCAGGAATGGGAAACAGTTAAGATCTCCTGGATAAACTGGGAGGGGGTGGTATAAAGGAGGGGATGGGAGATGGGAACATGAGGGATCCAGACGGCTGAGTTGGGGGAGGAACGGAGAGGGAGGACAATGAAAGAAATATCTTGATGGAGGGAGCCATTATGGAGTTAAGGAGAAACCTGGTGCTAGGGAAATTCCCAGGAATCCACAAGGATGACCCCAGCTAAGACTCCTAGCAATAGTTGAGAGGGTACATGAACTGGCCTTCCCTGTAATGAGATTAGTAACTACTCTAATTGTCATCATAAAATCTACATCCAGTAACTAAGGAAAGCAGATGCAGTGATCCACAGCCAAGCACTGGGCTGAGCTGAAGTTCAGCTGAAGAGAGGGAGGAGGGATTATATGAGCATGGGGGGGTCAAGATAATGATAGGGGAAATCACAGAAACAGCTGACCCGAGCTAGTGGGAGCTCACAAACTCTGAACTGACAGCTGGGGAACCTGCATGGGGACCAAACTAGGCCCTCTGAATGTGGGTGACAGTTGTTTGGCTTGATCTGTTTGTGGGGCCCCCGGTACTGGGACCAGGATTTATCCAGGGTGCATGAACTGGCTTTTCGGAGCTCATTCCCTGTAAGATAACTTGCTCAGCCTTGATGCAGGGGGGAGGGAGTTGGTCTTGCCTCAACTTGGTATGTCAGTTTGTTGTATCCCCATGGAAAGTCTCACCCCCTCTGAGGGGTGCATGGGGGGTGGAGGGTGTTGAGGGGGAGAGAAGGGGGACTTGGCTTGATATGTAAAATGAAAAAAAAAATTAAATAAAGAAAAAAGAAAAAGAAATAAGCCAGGGGCTGGGGCTGAGACTCAGTTGGTAGATTGCTTGACTAGGATGCTTAGAGCCCTGGGTTCCATTCTCCGTATGGCATAAACCAGGTATGGTAGCTAATGCCTCTCATCCCAGCACTCAGCAGTGGGAGACTGTAATTTGGGGTCACTCTGAGCTACATAGAAGAGTTGAAGGCATCCTGGGTTACAATAGACCCTGTCTCAGAACAAAAGCAAACAAAAGAAACAATAAAATCCAGTTGGGAGGGAAAGACTGGAAAGCTTCTCCCACTTCGACCTCATGTAACAAGTGACATGTATAAGAAAAGCCAGGTCTCGAAAAACCAAAAAAAAAAAAAAGAAAAAGAAAAAAGAAAAGCCAGGATAAAGTGGAAATACTGGGTATTATGTAAATTACCCATAAAAGATCAGGAGCTGGGAACATGGCTCAGGGAAAAGCACACTTACTGTGTAAAGCAGGACGCTGAATTTATTGTATCCACTGAGTAGATCATAGTGTAGGTAGCAACAAGCAGGCCTTTAATCTGCATCCTAAATCTAGAAGGCACAACTTTATTCTGGGCCACACCTGCTGGAAGGACAGGGAGGAAGAAGTTTCTGCTCTATGCCTGCTTTCCCTTACTTTGGTGGTAATTCTGTTCCTTCACTGGCATTAGAGCATATTTCTTCAGAATTGAGGGATTTATTGAAGAGCAGCAGAGACAGACACTCATGGGCTGAGCAAATTCTGGATTATTGGACTTTCCATTCACACCCAGTGACTGTTGGGTTCATTGTACTGTTGCCTATAGTCACTCAAATAAACCATTTTTTCTCTGTCTCTCTCTGTATGTGTGTGTGTGTGTGTGTGTGTGTGTGTATATATATATATGTATATATATATATTCTATAATTTTGTTACTCTAGAGAATAGAGACTAATGCAGATTTTGATAGTAAAAGTACTTCTAGAACATCAGAACTATAAGGATGAATCTTTAACTGTCAGGAATAGGCTTTTCAATTTGCAACACCTACAACTGCCAAAGGACCTCAGTGAGTATCTAAAGCCCACTGTGTGAACTGTCATATAAACAAACTTAAGAAGATAAATGCAATTCATTTATCCTGTTCCCCACAGTGATCTGTAACTCCTTATTTATATTATAGACTTAAAAATGATAGAAAGAAAATGTCTTAAACAACTTACTAGTAAAGGGCCTACAGAAAGCATTTGTGCCATTAAATAAATTGAGGTTAATTATTTGTTTCACAGAGGTAATTGGCAGGTTGCATTAGCATGTTACTTGGGATCCATAGATAATCATTATCCAACAGATCCATTTTAAGATTTTTTTTTAAAGATAATACATGGGTATTGCCTACAGTTACATCTAAAAATCCTATAGAGTCCTTTTAATGCTTTTGCAGATGGCTCTTCAAGAGGACAAGAAACATGTTTTACATATAAACTCCACATGCTCCTCAAAAAGGGTTATACTCACACCTAGCTGTACAGTTCAACTGTATGAATTTGCTGTAACCAAACAGCTGTTAGACAGCCCTGACCATTGAACACTTTAATGGACTCTGCATACTGCACTCAATCAGTTCCTCTATTAGAAACTGCAAGATTTAATCTACAATTATTTCTGTCCCTTCAGACATCTATAAAAAAATGAACTCATCATTTTTTTCATAACTCATAATCATGCTCATCCTAATTTGCCAGATGCATAAACATCCACCAATGCCCAAGCTGATGGACTGGTCTTCTCCTTGCTCCTAGTTTTTTCTTTCCAGGAAGAGAAATCCCACACCAGGCTGCTCAAGAATCTAATGAATCTTCATCAAAATGCAAATTCTTTACAGGTAAAATTCTCTTTGCCTCGTGAGCAAGCTCAGCAAATTATCAGGCCCCATCCTTCTTCTTCTTCTTCTTCTTTTTTTTTTTTTTTTAGTTTTTCGAGACAGGGTTTCTCTGTGTAGTTTTGGTGCCTGTCCTGGATCTCGCTCTGTAGACCAGGCTGGCCTCAAACTCACAGAGATCCTCCTGCCTCTGCCTCCCAAGTGCTGGGATTAAAGGCATGCACCACCACAGCCCAGTGCCCCATCCTACTTGTTCTTTTACTCTGCTGTCATTAACTAATCGTTGGGTGTTAAATCCAACACCATTTGGCAAACAGAAATTACCCATATCTTAGAATTTGGTCATTTAAAATATATTCACATAAGTCGGTAGCTTTTCAAATATGACCCTTGCTTCTGTTTACAGAGGTGAAACAACCTCCGATGCCATTAGGCATTTGTTATACAACTTCCCCTTTTGTTCCTAACGCAACAAATAAAAACTGATAACGACCCTGATTATACCAGCGAACACTTTAGACAATTTTGCAGCTTATGGACTGTTAATCATGTTACTGAAATCCCTTACAATCCACAAAATCAAACTGCTGAGGAACTATAATATCAAATACTTAAATGAGATAAACTTAAAATGAAAAGGGTGTGTATATACCCACCAAAATCCCCCATAATACGCTGCATCTACCTATCTTAACTTTAATTTTTTTCATTTTAAAGGACAATGCTTCTACTGCTGCCCAAAAGCATTTTCCCCTACAGGAGACAGAGTCTAAAGAATAGGTTAAATGGAAAGACCTAAAGACAAAACAAAGGAAAGGGAATGATGTCCTACTAACATCAGGGTGAGGTTATGCTTGTATCTTTCCAGATTCTTCTGACTCTAGACCATTACCCATTTTAGAGGAGTTGTCACATGTACTCTATGGCCTGCTGACCTCTATGCTATCTCAGAGACCACATTAGATTCTAGACTTTTACATATAGAAGCCCCCTCATGGTCACATGGACTTTGTAATAGTGTTTCTCTGCAGTCACGCCTTAAGCTCTGTTGTGCAACTGGAAGTGGAATGACTATGGGAACTGTTGTTAGTATAGAAACGCGTCCCCAAATTCTACTGTGTTTAAATATGCCTACAATAAGATGCCTCGTATTAGACTCCCCAGAGTCTGATGCAAGTTGACAAAGTCAATCTGAGCCAGGTTTTCACTCTCATCTCTTCCTGTGGTTGGCTTTCCTGACACCTGCAGTGACACCCTCACTAATCTCTTATGTTCACTTCATTCTTGCTGGACAAAGAACAGATTTTTGTATGTTACTGATTGCACTTTCTCCCAGAGATAA